ATTAAAGGAATGGTATACACAGTATTAATTTTCAGGACCAGATTTTAGTTTTTCTAATTCCCAACCTTCCTCTACTACTTAATTTTAACTGTAATCTCAGGTTATTCCTTGGAAGCAAAATTCACACGACTTTTCCATTAAACTAAGAGTCTTATGTTTTGGCAACAAGAAAGAGACAGTGAGAGGGGTTGGATCTGCCTGCGTTGAGTCCTTTGCCAAAAACAATCTCTGAGCTCTCTGGATAAGCAACACTTGCAAACCTAGCAAAGTGCCACAAGCTGGAGTCATGAAATGAAGCGCGAGGCTCAGGAATAACGCCTTTACACAAACTACCTCTGATGGTGGGTGGTGAGAGTGGTTTTGTTTTAACATCCTATTAGCACATTATCTTTCATTTCCAAAGCCTTTATTGGTTCCAAGCCTACAGGTGGTGATGGGGGGTGGGAGGGAGTTTGAATAAGATGTTCCTTAGTTGGGAGGCAAAGCTGTTGGTGCCTCCTCGTTTGATGAGTCAGCCATCAGCTGCTGCTGCTGCTGCTGCTACTGCTGCTGCTGCTACCACTGCTGCTGTTTTTTTTTTTTTTTTTTTTTCCCTTGGGAAATGCAACCATTGCTTCTGAAATGATTGCATGCCAAGTGCAAAAGATGGAAGCATTGATCATACTGGATTGGAAACACCAGTTTATTTATCTGCCCTCACTAAACTATGTGCTCTTGGAGAGCATAGATTATGCCCTTTGTCTAGGTAACTCCAGACCCTGGCCAAGTGTCTAATGCTTTTTTTTGGTGACACCACAAAAAAATGGGGAAAAAAAATGCTAGGTGGACTTGAGAACATGGACTCAGTGATCAGGGATGCAATTCTAAGGCCTAGCACTCTGATGAGCATTCTTATGTCTTCTCACTTCTCTAGCAGAGGGTGGTTCTAGTACCATCATGCAGCTGTTGCAATGATCCAAGAAGATTGTGTGATTGAAACTTCATGTGATACAAACTGTAAAATTTGGGTATAGCTTAAATTTCCCAGGAGCTATTGGCTAACCCCATGACTTTGGGCAAGTTAAACCACCTATGAACCTCAGTATCCACAGCAGTAAAATAAGAAGGTTAGAAACTATGATGTACATGGTCCTTTTCTGCTCTGAAATTCTCCTAAATTTCTTTGCTGTCAAACACCCCAACTCTCTTCTTTGACAGGGTAGAAGACAGTCCGTGAAGCTGCCACTAAAAAGGATAAAAGGAACTATGTGGGTTTATGATCACAACCAATTATGCTACTGCCAAAAGAAAACAGCACTGAATATTTTAGTTTCTCAGAGGACGTGCAATGTTTGAAAATCATCTTCCTTCTTGCATTAAAAAAAAAAAGAAAAAGAAGAAGAAAAGTGGGAGAACCATCACATTCTGTGCATAACTTTTCTACTTATAGACAAAATTTTCAATTCATTTTTTTCCTTTCTGGAGGTGTGAGGGAAAATTCCCATAGCTGTAGGAGTGTGGAAGTCAGGGGACTGTAGGAGAATGTAAGTGTGATCGTGGGACTACACTTAATTCATTAAAATGTGTGGTTTATAAAAACCACTTTGCCAAAAATGAGCTTTGTGGGAAGGAGAAGGCAGCAGGGATATGGATGCGTGGGGGAAAGGGAGGAGTAAGAAGTGCCAAGAGAGAAGGAAGTCTTATTTGTTGCTAAATGTTGAATCCCACATAAGAATATGTCATGAGCCAATTTAGGGAAATTAAAATGCAACTTGGGGGAGTGCAAATCTATTAGGCACAGATATTACGTGTTGACATTATTATCATCCTATTTTTATATAAATTGTGAACATTCTCCAGTGACTTTAAAAAGTTTGGGGAAACTTTTTTTTTAGTTATCCTCCTTTCACATTTTCTCTCTTTTCCTAGGTGAAATGGCAGTCATAGAACAACATTGTGCTTTTATTCCTTTCCTGTCAATACTGTGAATTGTTTCGGAAACAAACTGCATTATTTAGGTTAACATTGGCTGCTGTAACAAATAAACCTCAAACTTTTGTGACTTAACACAACAGAATTTTATTTCTCATTCACCGAACAGTCTGGTGCAAATATTCCTGGTGGGCACGCCACTTTCCTCAATGAGATAACTCAAGGATTGAGGCTCTGCTATGGCTTGAATGTGTCCCATCCAAAATTCGAGTGTTGCCAATGTGATAGTATTCAAACGTAGGGCCTTTAAGAGGTGATTAAGCCATAAGGTCTCTACTCTCATGAATCAGATTAGGTGTCCTTATAATAGGTCTTGATAGAGGGTTTATCCCTTTTTGCCCTTCTGCTATCTACCATGTGAGGATACATCTGTTCTTCCCCCCAGGGGTTGCAGCATTGAAGGCACCATCTTGGAAGCAAAGACTAGACCCTCACCAAGCAGTTAACACGCTGGTGCATTGATCTTGGACTTTCCAGCCTCCAGAACTGTAAAAAATAAATTTCTGTTCTTAATTAATTACCCAGTCCCAGGTATTCTGTTATAGCAGCACAAAGCTTAGGCAGGCTCCTTACATCTTGTGGCTCCATTATCTCCTGGGAACTGGGAGTCCTTAGGTTCTAGCTATATAAAGAGAAAAAAAAGATGGAGAAGGCACACATGCTTCTTAATGGTCGTGGTTCAGAAGTAACAAATACCAATTTTATATGTTCTACTGACCCAACCCAGATGCAGGGGTGTGCTGGGAATGGAGTCTCTGATCGGGCAGCAGGGATCAGGGATCAAAGATCAGGAAAGATTCCAGGGTGAATATTTTACTAGGTGAGGAGGACCATGAATTCTGACAAACGGTTTTTGCTGCTCCACCCACGCCTCATCATCACTGTTAAACACAAAGAGAAACGGCAGCACTTTTTGTCCATTGATTGTAACTCTTTCTTTAAAGACTTTTAAGGCAGAATCCTAATTCATCTCTTCTACGAAACTTTCATGATTCAAAGGGAAGTCCCTGCATGGGCACTGCCAGCTTCTGCCTCTATGCTTTTTCCTGAACCTTCTCCACCTCTGGAACGTACTTCAGGTAAGACACCTGTGCCTGATCCTTGTGATCTCTTCTTGCATCTGTTATTCCTCTGCTTGTTCACCTCAGGGGATCCCCTCTCTCAGAGACATTTTTTCTGTCAAAGAATTACTAAGCATTCACAAACTAGTGGGGAGATAGCTTTTCTTTAAGAAATCTCTTGGCAGGCAGACCCCCCCCCCCCCCCCCCGCAAATCATACCCAGGATATCCCTATGTCAAAACTCACCAGGAACCAAAGGGTTCCTTTTCCTTATTTATAAGTCGATGTTAGAGCCAACTCTATTTTTAGAGGTGTAAAAACTGAGATCTAAGGAGGTTAAGTAGAGCTTTGCCTGAAATTTCACAACTAGTTTGTGAAGAACCAAGCTTAGGATCCAGGAGTCCTGACATTCCACTAACACTCTTTCCATTCTGTCATAGAGTCTTAAGGGCCCAAGGCCACATGAGCCAATACCAGTACGCATTCTCAACTCATGGAAGAGACAGACACTTAAGTGAGTATGTATATATACATGTGCTGTGTGTGATTATTTTTTCCTGCCAGGCTTGTCATTTCCCTTTACCACCCAACAATTATTATTTCTTAGAACATGTTATATTGTTTTAGGTCTCCACAATATTTCCACTACGGCATGGCATTTGCTGGGTGTATTAGTCTGTTCTCACATTGCTATAAAGAACTACCTGAGACTGGGCAATTTACAAAGAAAAGAGGTTTAATTCGCCCCTGATTCTGCAGGCTGCATGGAAACATGGTAGGGGAGGCCTCAGGAAACTGACAATCATCAGTGGAAGATGAAGAAGAAGGAAGCACATCTTACATGGCCAGAGAAGGAGGAAGAGAAAGAAGGGGGAAGTGCTATACCCTTCTAAACAACTAGCTCACATGAGAACTCACTGTCATGAGAATAGCAAGGGGAAAATTTGTCCCCAGGATCCAATCACCTCCCACCAGGCCCCTCCTCCAACACTGGGAATTGCAATTTGCCATGTGATTTGGATGGGGACACAGAGCTAAACCATATCAGTAGGTAACTAGTTAGTTGTTTTTTTCTTTTACACAAAAGCTAGTGTTGACATAAATTATCATAGCATCAAAGATACCTAGAGATAAACCAATTAAAAATATGCACAGGATATCAAAGTCATGTCTAAATATTATTGAAAGAAATTGAAGAAGACCTAAATAAATAAATAAATACATCACTTTTATGAACTGGAAGGATCTCATCTCTGTAAATAAGTCAAACCTCTCCAAATTGATCTACAGAATCAATATAATGCCAATCTAAATCCCAGGAAGGTGTTTTGAGGAAATTGACAGGCTGATTCAAAAACTAATATAGATATGTTAAGTCTTAACAGTAACAGAGACAATCTTGAAGAAAAATGAAGTGGGAGGATATCATGACTCACTTTTAAAAGTGCACCGAGTAAAACAGAGTGGCATTGGTCATGGGATAGAAAAATGGACCAATAAAAAGAATTGAAAATCTGGAAACAGATCCATGCATATATGTATACTTGATTTGATTTATGACATAGGGAATCATGGGGAAAGGATAATCCCTTAATAAATGACACTGGTTCCATTACATATTCATATGGAAAAAAATCTTGATCCCTACTGCACAGTATACACAAATATCAATTCCAAATGTGAAAGGCAAAACAATAAATCTTCTACAGGGTTTGGCAAACTTTTTCTGTAAAGAGTCAGAGAATAAACATTCTGGGCTTTGTGTGCCATAAGGTCTGTTGTAGCACAAAAGTAGTCATGGGTGATGTGTAAATGAATGAGCATGACTGTATCCCAATAAAACTTTATTTACAAAAACAGTTGGCAGAATGGATTTGGATCACAATCCACAGTTTGCCAACCCCTGTTCTAGAAGTTAACATGGGAGAATATCTTTATGATCTTGGAAGAAGATTTTTAAATAGTCACAAAATGTCCTAATCACAAAGGCAAAGATATGTTGCGGTCCTTTAATTTTAAGACGTTCTGTTCACCCCAAAATACCACTAAAGTACCGAAGAGGCAATCGATATAGTTGGAGAAATTATTTGCAACACATATAACGCATGTCCAGAATATATAAAAACTACAAATCAATAAAGAAGACAAATAACACAATGCCATGTTCAGACACTTCACCAAAGGTCGCCAAATTGCCAATTAACATTTTCAGAGGTACTCAACTTTATCAGTCTTCAGGAAAATAAAAATTAAAGCCACAATGGCATGCCACTACACACCTACTGCAATGATCATAATTTAAAAGCCTGACAATACCAAATGTTAGCAAGGATTTTGAACATACATACTGTTGATGGAAGCATAAACTGGCACATTTCCACTTTGGAAAACTCTTTGGCAAGTTTCCTCTAACGCTAAGTACTATATGCATACTTTCTGACTCAGCAATTCCACTTGCAGATATGTACTCCCACAGAAATATACACAAAAGACATGTATAAGAATGTTCGTGGCAGCATTATTCATAATAACCTCAAATTTTAAACAACTTAAATAACCATTAAATGGACAGTTGAATGGGTAAATAACTCATAGTATATTTATAGAATGGAAAACTATTCAGCAATAAAAATACATGAACTCCTTTTACATGCAAATCTACTGAAACTTTCAAATGTAACAGTAAGTGAAAGTAGCCAGAATTGAAAGGATACAGAATGTATGATTCTAATTATATGTGGCTCAAATACAAATATAAGTAAAACTAACCGATGGCATTATAAGTCAGAACAGTGGTAACCTTTGGAGAGAAGGAAGAGCATGATAAACTGGAATATTCAGTGGGTTTCTTGGGAGCTGATAATGCTCTATTCTTTAACCTGAGTGGCACTTACACAGGTACATTCATTTTGTGATAGCTCATTGGACTATATACTTATGATCTATGTAATTCTCTGTATACATGCAATACTTCATTTAAAGGTTTTAGAAATCTATTGGAGAAAAAAAAAAAAAACACTGCCTCCTGTTCCAACTATATGTTTCAATCACCACAGCAGGTCAGACACAATAGCCGTACAGATGCTTAGGTAGCACTGAAACGCTACTGGACAAAGAAACATGGCTTACAAGTGACCACCTCACAGAAGAAATAGATTCTAGATACACCCAGAGAAGTTCATCTCAGAACTATCAGGTCAGGAAAACGAGGTTGTGAAGTCAGAACTGTAAAGCAATTCTGTTGTCTAGCAACTGCCTTATGTTGGTCTCTTTCCTGCTCCTATTCTCTGTTAAGTCTTGCAAAAGTGGTTTTACTCACAGGACAAGTGGTTCTCTATACTAGGCGGCTTAGATTTAGGTTTCCCTAAAGATGGGATGAATTGATTGCATATATTTGGAGCTCTATTGCTTTTTAATACTCAATAGCAAAGAATTCTATTCCTGAATCCTAGAACTTCAATCTTCATGAGACAGCGAAAGGGCATTTTGACCCTCCCAATCAAAGTCGAAGAATATTTATTCCATCTCCTTCATATTTTCCTCTTCTCATCCTTGAAATCTTAATTAAAACTTCCTAAATTCATTTCCTCTAAGTATACCACAGTAGCCAGAACCCTTACTGGCGTTGAGAACTTTCCTTGGCACAGGTATAATTGCTCCTCTGTCAGTGTCCGGTGGAAGCTAACCTGAGTGGCATGTTTTCATAAGCTTTGGTGGTCGAGAGGATGCCACCAGGATGGCAAGAAGGGGATGTGTGAAACACCTCACCTTGACAGGAGCACAGGCCTTGAAATCAGACAGACTGAAGCTCCAACACAGTGCCCAGCACTCACTAGATGCTCGACCTTAAACAAATTACTTAATATAGTTTAGAATCAGTTCCTAAATTATAAAATAAATAAAATAGTGTTTATCTGATAGAATGGCATAAAGTAAGAAGAGGAGGAGGAAGAGGAGGAGGAGGAGGAGGAGGAGGAAGGAAGAAGACCATAAATAGCACTGCTGTGTGCCTGGCATTGTTCTGTGTGCTATATATATGTTGACTTATTTCTATGTAAGTGTCACAGCAATCCTAGAACATAGGCTGTGTTCATATCACCAGTTTATAAATGAGGAGCCCAGGCATAGAGAAGTGAAGGAACTTGCCCGAGGTCAGATGGCTACAAAGTGGTGGAGGGAGGACACTGATCCAAGCAGTCTGGCCGCAGGGTCCATGTTCTTATGCACAACACCCAACTGGTTTCTTGCCCCTAGAGTAGAGGCAATCAAGCATGGATGACTCACTTCAAGTAATGCTTCTTTCATCCCCTTTCTCACAAAGCTCAATGGCACATCTAATTTTTAGGTTTAGGAAGCGAGAAATTAAGAAGATCCTTGTGTGTTTCTCTCATTTAATAGCACCCCCTGTATCTTACTTTCACCTCCTCAGTGAACGACTTAGAGAATAGGGCTGCTTTGGTAAGTTCTTTACTCAACATGCACACGATGAGCACCTATGGCACGCCAAGCACTATCGTAGGTAATAAAGGAGCCAAGGGGCCACGCCAGTTTCTTCTCCACTCTCCCTCTCTCACTGGAATCATAAGTCCACATGAAATGCTGTGGCCTCAGGACTAAAGAATAAAGTCTAGGCCAGTGACAGGCCAATGCTCATACAGTCCTAGCTTGTCCATCAGCTGCCAGAGAGGCCTGCATGCATCCAGAACTAAATCCAATCCAGAGTTATGTGGAGAGAGCCTACTCCAGCCTGGATTTGCTCCTGAAACAGCAAGTACATTGTTCCTAACTCCAGGCCATGCTTGCCAGTGGCAGCTCATGACCTTCCAGAAATTACTTTGCCTTTATAGAGCAGGCTGTAATTTTAACTCCCACTCCCCCGCCACCAACTTTATTTTTTCATCAAAAATTAATTTAAACACCAGTGAAAGCTCAGAATCCATTCACTCTGATTGGCAAGAAAGGAAAGAGAAAAGAAAAGCAACAACACATTTTGTTGTTTGCCATACCTGAACTGGCAGAGTCTTCAAGAGTTGTACTGAGGTTGGAATTTAACACTCCCTCCTCCAACACAAACACTCCTGCGGTGGGGGGAGGCAGGGGGATGTGCTCACTAGGCCGCCCTCAGATCTGTGCGTTGACGGTGAAAACAAGGCCCTAAAACACATGTCCAGCAAAACTTAAATAAGTCACGACCTATACAAGGCAAACCTTGCTACCGACTGCTTCTCCTTTCCTCTCCCCACTTCCATCTTTTTCCTTCCCACAGAGCTTCTTTCCTTCACAAAGCTTGGGAAGCACCCTCTGTAGAAACTAAACTATACATGAAAATCCAGGTCCCAGTCCACCATTCCAAGGCCATCAGTACCTTCAACAGGGGAAGCTAAGACTAAGAAATGGGACTTGGAGAGCTTTCCTGAGACCTCCTTTCCCGTCGTATCTGCCTTCCTACAAGCCCTTGTCTGAGAAGTGTGTACTGAGATGGAATAACCCGTAGGACTTCTGGGTATTTCTCTCTAGGCTTCTGGCCCAAGCTTGTATCTTCGGAATGTTCCCAGAGTTGGCCCAAGAGCCATGGTGATCATAGCAAGTCCAGGCTCTAGTGATGTGGGCACTGTGGAAAGTTTCCTGGGGAGTGTGTCATGTTGAATCAAATGTGAATGCTTCTCCTAAACTAGATGTTCTTGAAGTTTATGTAAATAGAAGGCAGGAGAAGCTCGAGTAACTGCAGTTCTCCCCATTTGAATCATTGGTTTTACCCTTTGCACTGTGGCCAATGCAGTCTGCTCTGCAGAGCAATAGGAGTCAATCCCAAGGCTCCAAGGGCCAGGCAGAAGGAGAGAGCTGACAGCTCCCAGTAAAGGAAAAAGCGGGATCACTGTCCAGCTTTCTGGAGTTGCAGGATTAGTTTTCTGCTGGACTCCCCAAGTGGCAATCTACAGGCCTTTTTCCAGAATTACCAGACTCTGAGGAGACAATAAAAAAGAAACTAAAACAATTTTTGAAAAGTTTTCCAAAGTTGGTGAATGCTATACAAAGCCCCAGTTGACTTTGATATTTGCTCGGCTACAGGGAGAGGGGAACACGATCTGATTTGTGAGTGTCTTGGTTGCAAGTTTTGGCCAAGGCCTGGGTTGTTCCAAATTAAGACTGAGGAAGCAGAATTTCCCTTGGGGCCTTGGTACTGACTTTGAGCTGGGATCTTCTAGAAGACCCTGTAGAGTGGGAAAACAGTTGCCTATTATGCTTGTGTAACAGGATTATAGATTATTTCACTCTGAGAATCTTTATGAAATGACCTACAAAGCCTGAACCTCAAAATGTTGAGAAATCTTCTAAGCTGAGGGGATGCTGGGTTGATTCTGGGTGTTGGAACTAATATTCCCACTTGGGTCTTGTGTTGTCTGAGGTTGGACTCCCCAGAAGCAGACACTGAGTGATTCACTTAAGGAATATTGCCAGGAAAAACTGGTGAGAAGTGGGCCCCACAAGGAAAGGAGGACGCCGGGACAAGGTGCAACACTGAGCAAAGCCTCAGGAAAGGAAATGCTGAGATGTGACTTACCGTCTCTCCAGATCTTCCTGTGTACTGTCACTGCTGTCCTGGCCAGGGACCAAGGAAGCTGGAGTATTTACACCTCCCTCTCACCTGTCATTCACCAGTTAAAGACTGTCATTTCTAGAAGGAAGTCAATCTTCATTATTGCACTATCAAAATAGTTTCTGGACTGAGGGCAGCTCTCTGATAAAGAGATACAGCTGCTGCTTGAGCACAGCTGGATCTGGGTACATGAAAATAATAAAGGGCTTGTAAGGGGAATGGTCCAAACACTAAGTGAGTCAGCTATATATTGTCTGGACTTGCTGTGGACTGAACTGTGTCCCCACCAAATTCGTACGTTAAAGTCTTAACCCCTCAATATGACTATATTTGGAGATAGGCTTTTAGGAGGTAATTAAGGTTAAGTGGGATCACAAGGGTGGACCCCTAATCCAATTGGACTGGTAGCCTCGTAAAGACAGGAGGAGACACCAGGGATGTCTCCCCCTGTCTCTTTTCATGCACACTCAGAGGAAAGGCCATGTGAGGACACAGCCAGAAGCCAGCTGTCTGCAAACCAGGAAGAGAGCCCTCACCAGGAATGAAATTGCCACCTTGATCTTGGACTTCTCGCCTCCAAGAGTGTGAGAGAATAAAACTCTGTTGTTTAAGACACTCTGTGTGTGGTATTTTGCTATGGCAGCTCTGGGCTGGCAAGGCATTGCTTTGGGTCAGTCATACACAGAGTAGGTACATTTATCTGTAAGAGAAACTCCACTGATGCAATCCGTGGTACACAAGTACCAAAGGCTGTGAGCAGTCACCATTGATTTGTCAATGCTGTGGGCCCTGCCATTGGTCCCAGAGTTAGTGTCAGTCAGTGGTCCTTTGGGGTCTTCCCCTCACCTCATCTTAAAGTTTTTGGTTCACATTCCCTCTGCTTTGCTTGACTGCATGGAGGTGGGACAGATGCTGCATTTGCAGGAGGGCACCAGTGCGCTTTTCTGTTTTCTTCCCTACTTCCCAGTCATTCCATCTGAAAAGAATGCATAAAACCAGATTCTGAAGAACCAGCATGTCTTTTTAAACTTCTTGGCCACCTGTCAGTGAGTGGAAATCCCACAACAAAGCAGGAACTATCTAGATTATAGATGTCCAGCCAACCTGCTCGCATGGCCTGAAGGTGAGGCTTGAGCTCACAGTTGCTAGCCACTGAGCACCCAGGCCATGCTGAGCACCGCACCACAGGGCAGAGACTTCTGAAGTTACAGCCTTGCCACTTAACAGCAAGAAAGAGCTTCCTGAAGCCAAAAACTCAACTATGTGCTGCTCAAGAATGGCATGCTGGTCGTGGCAGGCAGTCTACAGAGGAACAGAGAAACTACATGGAGAAGCAGACCCGGGCTCCATGTTACCTCCTTCTCCATAACTGTGGGATTGGCAAGGAGAAAGGAAAGTGGGGCAACAACCAAGAGAAGAGCCCAAATGACTGCTTTTGTCCAGGCACAAATATCACTAGTTATGCCATGCCCCCACTGAGCTTCTAGATCCTTGTCAAATCCTCTTCTGCAGACTAAAAATAATCACTCACATATAAACAAACGTAAATATATTTTTAACATGCCTCAGAAAACCCACCTTCCTGTTGGGTTTTGGGGCTCTCTCTCCAAGTCAACTGGCATATCACAAAAGCAACTGCAACTGCTTAGAACTTTCCACCACATACAGGCAAATGTGACCCCAGCTGACATCTGACTGTGAATGCCAAAGTGACTTGTGTTGTGAGATTAGAATCTCTAACTGCCTTGTGGTTTCAGAAAGCAGGAGAGGCCAGAACTTAGGAGAGGGTGAGGGCTTAAAAATTCAAGGTGAAGAGTTCCAGAGAAACCCACACATTTTGAGGGTCATTTGTGTGGCTTCCTGCGGAAGGTTTTAAAAGCCGGAGTACAGTACTGTTGAGACGTTAGCCAGTGGAAATAAAGGAAGCCCGCCACCCAGCCAAGCAGCTAGCTGGATGGCGGCCCCCAGTTGGGGATGGTATTTCACCCTGTGAGGGCAGGCAGCGAAGGAAGAGAAACCAACCAACTGTCACCGATCTGAAAGAATTTGAGGGCCAGAAGGATAACAGCATGATTTTAAAAAAAAAAAAAAGCCGGGCGCGGTGGCTCAAGCCTGTAATCCCAGCACTTTGGGAGGCCGAGACGGGCGGATCACGAGGTCAGGAGATCAAGACCAGCCTGGCTAACACGGTGAAACCCCGTCTCTACTAAAAAATACAAAAATTAGCCGGGCGTGGTGGCGGCGCCTGTAGTCCCAGCTACTCGGGAGGCTGAGGCAGGAGAATGGCAGGAACCCGGGAGGCGGAGCTTGCAGTGAGCCGAGATCCGGCCACTGCACTCCAGCCTTGGTGACAGAGCGAGACTCCGTCTCAAAAAAAAAAAAAAAAAAGAGGATTTTTTTAAAGGCATACACAGGACATATGATCCCTAAGTAATAGCTCGTAATTAATAAAATAACTCTGTGATCCTGCCAAAGTACTCTTTTTACTCTTTCTCTAACTCATTTGCAGACATTAGATGCCTCTTACCTCTTCTTTGCACTCATCATCATTCCACAAAAATAAGAGATTGGGGCAAATAAGGATTTGCATTGACGGGACGTTTTGTGCTTTTCAAAGAGCAGTCCGTTCCACCGAGAGGTAAGGATAACATAATTAGAAAAAAATTGTGGGATGTGCCCATGGCCAGGTGTGGTGGCTCACGCCCGTGATCCCAACACTTTGAAAGGCCGAGGTGGGAGGATTGCTTGAGGCCAGGAGTTCAAGACCAGCCTGGACAACATAGTGAGACCCTGTTTCTACAAAAAAAGATAAAAAATTAACCACGCATAGTGACATATGCCTATAGTCCTAGTTACTCAAGGGACTGAGATGGGGAGATCACTTGAGCCCAGGAGTTCCAGGCTGTAGTTTGCTTTGGCCACACCACTGCACTCCAGCCTCAATGTCAGAGCAAGGCTCTGTCTCTAAAATTAATTAATTAGTTAAAAAAAGAATTGTGCCCAAATGGCTTAGAGCTAGTTAAGTGACAGATGTATTTTGCTATGGACCAAAGTTAAGGTTGTTTGACTTTTAGGCACTTCTTTGGCCATGAGCTCCTGCTTCTGGTTCTCCTGATAAAATGCTAGAGGCTCAGTCCAAGGTAACAAGCAAGAAGTGGGCTCAGGAGGACAGAGCTCTGGCTTCCCAGATGCACATTCATTCACAGGCTCCTACCACTGCCATTGCAGGTTCCTTGACTTTGTCCTTCAGTCCTGACTTATTGTAATTTCTCTGCTTATGGGTAAAACGAGGAATTCCTGTCACATTGCCAACACCACCCTCTTTCTTCTCACCCCAAGGAGGGTGCAGAGAGGGGGCGAGACCAAGCCTGCCCAGAGTTGGAGTCTTGAGACGTGAGGTAACGTTGGTTCCCCATCTATGCTGAAACCTGAGGGAAATTGGCAGGGCTTATGAGGAGGGGAAGGCCGGCCTTGAGATTTTCTTTATGTTTGGCCTGGATGTAGTCCAACCTTAAACTCAAATGAAAACTTGAGAAATGTTATATTACCAAAGAGCGCATGTGTGTGTTTTGAGATGAAGGTAATGGAGTGGGTGGTGGCGGCCAGCCACAAAGCACAGCTTCAATCCAGCTAAACAACTAAACCCCCACTGAAGAATCCAGGCCCTCATGACCACACCATAAGGAGGAGTCTTTATTATCCCAATTCTTGTATTTTGTGTTTGCGCCCATCCAGGGAGCTCTTAAAACACCTGGGTCCCAGTCCCTCATGTGGTTACTCACCTGAGCTAAATCTCTTCACGTCTCTGATCCTCAACTTTTCCCATGCTCTAAATTAGAGGTATAAATCGAGTGTCAGGGATCTTTTCGTTCAAAGAACCAAGTTCTAGTGCAATCACTGGCAAATGTAATTTCTAAATGTTAAAAGTCATCCATGCTTCCAAGACGCAATTGAAAAATGGCAAATGTTGAGAGGTTCAATGCATTTCATTTCTTTTTCAAAGGGTCTTTCCTATTTCAGGCAACCGCGCCTGCGGTGAGTATGACTGTATGAAAGCATATGTTTGCAAAACAGTTGAAATATTTGCGTATAATAGCATTTTCACAGCAGTTAGTATAAACAGGGAGAAACTTAGGAGTGGCATTTCGTGGGTGTCTATGAAATGACAGATTGTGCAATTTTTAGGAAGAAAAAAGGCTTGAAGGGAAAAACCCTAGAGGCAATAATATTTTGACCTTGAGAGAAAAAAAAATATGCTAGTTTGTGTATAGAAAATAAACTCTCCTTCAAAGTTTACGTTCAGAAAAACCTTGGTTGCTTGCTCATAAATAAATTGAGGACAGAATTGTTGATTATTGAGGTTAATGTTCTTTTACTAAAGTGGAAACATTGTATGTAATTAGATTAAGAAGAGATTTCGGTAGAAAGAGTGACGATGTGAGTAATCTTGAGTCAACAAAGGCACATTTTGATTTTATTAGCTAGCTATTAGAGCAATCTTTGGCATTTTATGTGTGATGCAGAGCATCAGGATGTAGCTGTTGAAAGTCATTTGTGTCCGCTGTCTGGACTAATTGAGCGACAATAATAAAACGCTGTTTTTAGATAAACAATGGGTGGCGGAGCTCCATCGGTCCCTGCAGGGAGCGTGTTGATGCCTTTCAAAGAGCAACTGGCTGAGCTCACGTGCCACAGTCATTTCACAGAGGAAAGTCAAGTCATTTAAATCAACTAAATTGAACGCAGTTTTGAAATGGAAATCAGTAATCCCAGTTTGGAGCTGCCTCCTTGTCAATGGAAAGCTAGAGGCTCGGATCGCCGTCTGGTTCTCTCCCAAGTCTTATTCAAAGGCAGGAGGCCCCTGAGCCACGCAGATTTCAAGTTAGCAATACCAGGGAAAGGAATATCACGTGTCGTATGTTTTGTGTAGTACGTTGGTGCCGAACAGGCTGACATGGAAATATCATCATAAACCCAAGCTGCCTGCTCTATGTCCCTCCCTTCAGTGCACACAAGATGGGTCCTAGACAGACGGACAAACAGAAGGCTTCCAGGAGGATGTAAGTGGGTAACGTGCTGCTGCCCTTGCCCAGTAGGAAGGAATTTCTCTTGGAAGCCTCCCTCCTCCTCAGACTGTGCCCTTTCTCCTCCCCCCATGCCCTTGAGAATAAAGCATGTCCAGAAGTGAACCTCAACTTTGCGTCAAGATTAGGATCTCTGGTTACAGACTGAGAACAGAAGAAAGCAGGCTGGTATCCTCCGACTCACTTTATCTTAACGTAGGATCACACAACCACCAGGCTTTTGTGGCAGCCAAGGGGTGGCAGGGGGTTCTTCAACACCTCCCTCTTTTCAGCTATCAGCCTTGTGCAAACAGCCACATGACCTAGAGAAAGACAGTGTGCTGGCTTGACAAACACAGCTTTGAGATAGGTTCACTGCACTCCACAAACTAATTGCATCTTCCTCACCCTGCTATAAAATGTTGTTGTTGACCAGCACAATAGCTCACTCCTGTAATCTCAGCACTTGGATGAGGCCAAGGCTGGAGGATCACTTGGGCTCAGGAGTTTGAGACCAGCTTGGAGAACATGGTGAGACTTTGTCTCTACTAAAAATAAAAATAAAAAATGAGCCTGTAGTCCCAGCTACTCAGGAGGCTGAGGTGGGAGGATCACTTGAGTCCAGGAGATTGAGGCTGCAGTAAGTGGTGACCATGCCACTGCACTTTAGCCTGGATGACAGAGTGAGACGGTCTCAAAAATACACAAACACATACACACACACACACACACACACAGTCACCACTGAGCTTTAGGAAGCTGGGTGCAGTCCATTGACATTTTCATTCAGTAGCTCTTACTTGAATACTTGCTAGGCATAAGGTCCTGTGCTGCCTGCTGGGGAGATATCCTTGCGAAAGACCAACACATGGCACTTGAAGATAGATAGATGATAGATAGATAGATAGATAGATAGATAGATAGATAGATAGACAAATAAAATACAATAGACTATTGGTCTGTTGATACATATTTAGGTCACGAGTGGCTTTCCCCCTCCCAGCACACCCAGCCCTAGATCAGTCAGTTGTCTTTTAGAGCTTACAAGGGAGGAAAAAAATATTTTTTCTACTGTTCTTCTAGATTCTTCAGCAGGGGTCTATAAATTGGGCTGACAAAAGACAGATTAGCAAGAGAAATACAAGCAGCAGTTTATTAACATGTGCATCCTGATTACACATGGAAGTACCCAGAGGTGAGTAACCCAAAGGAGTGGTTAGAACTTGGGCTTCTATACCACCTTAACATAAAACACAGGAAAAGGGGTTTGAGGCTTCTTGGGGAGGCAAGTTACGGGATGGTGACCAGGAAAAGTATGGTAGACAAGAGTTGTTTAGTAAGGTTTGTTATGTGGATTTAAAATAGTACCTTCTTCATTGATAAAAGTTGCTAAGAGTACTCCTTTTCCTGGTATGAGAGAGGGAGATATCTCTACAAATCTAAATTTCCTTTACTAAGGAAAACCATGTGCCTTGGTTTTAGACTTTTCCTGAGACTGCTGGTTCTCAGTGGCCTCCAGCTCAAAACAGTCCATATGCCAAAGAGGCGTATTTTGGGGTGGCATATTCTGGTACCTCTCAGGCTACTCCTCACACTATTTTCACTTGACTTCCTAGTCACCTCATCTGCTCTTCACCCTGGACACTAGAGAAAATGCTCTGGCTCTGTCATAACCGAAAGCACAAAGTTCTTTCTGTGCATTCCTCTGATCTAAACCATTGTGACAGATTAAAACTAGGCTTTGTACAATCTTTAGTTGATGACTCCTCTGAGTCCTGCCCCTCTGGAACATAGGCCAAGACAAGCAGCCAAAACATGTCTTCACCTTCTCTCTTAAGAGCTTCTTCCTGACTTCCTTGCATCTTGGACATATTTTAGTAATTTCTCAAAAAGTATTTGCAATGGTTAATTTTATGTGTCAACTAAACTAGGCTATTGTGCTCATTTGGTTGGTCAAGCACCAGTCCGGATGTTGCTGGGAAGGTGTTTTCTTTTAGATGTGATTAATATTTTAAATCAGTAGACTTTGAGCAAATTAATTTTTCTGCATAATTTAAATGAGCTCAGAGGACAGAGCATCAAGTCAAAGATGGTTATTCTCAAAGCTTAAAATCTAATGGAATTTATTCTGCTAGGTTTTGAACCTGCTCAGAACTTTTGAATCCCCTTTTCCTTCTGATTTCTCCTTTTTGGAATGGGCATGTCTGTCCTATACCTGTCCTAACATTTCTATCTTGCAAGTAAACTTGTCTGGTTTCATAGGCTCACAGCTAGAGAAAAATGTTGCTCCAGAATGAATCACACTGAGTGTCACACACACCTCATTTAGATGATATTTAAATGAGATTTTGAACTTAGAGTTGATACTAGAAGACATCAAGACTTCCAGGAGTGTTGGGTTTGGGTGAATGCATTTTGTATGTGAAAAGGATGATCCAGAGGCTGGTCTGTGACAGGCTGAATTATGTTCTCCTGACCCAAATTCATGTTTTGAAATCCTAACCCCAGTGCCTCAAAATGTGACTCTATTTGGAAACATAGTTGTTGCAAATATAATAATTAGTTAAGATGAGGTAATACTGGAGTAGGGTGAGTCCCTGATAACAATATGACTGGGTATCCTTATAAAAAGAAAAAATTTGGGCCAGGCGTGGTGGCTCATGCCTATAATTCCAGCACTCTTGGAGGCCAAGGCAGGTGGATCACCTGAGGTCAGGGGTTCGAGACCAACCTAGCCAACATGGTGAAATCCCATCTCTACCAAAAATATAAAAATGAGCTGAGCGTGGTGGCGTGTGCCTGCAGTTCCAGCTACTTGGGAGGCTGAGGCAGGAGAACCACTTGAACCTGGGAGGCAGAAGTTGTAGTGAGCTGACATAGTGCCACTGCACTCCAGCATGGGCAACAATGAGTGAGACTCTGTCTGAAAGAAAGAAGAAAGAAAGAAAGAAAGAAAGAAAGAAAGAAAGAAAGAAAGAAAGAAAGAAAGAAAGAAAGAAAGAGGGAGGGAGGGAGGGAGGGAGGGAGGGAGGGAGGGAGGAAGGAAGGAAGGAAGGAAGGAAAAATTTAGACACAGACACACACACACAGAGGAAAAACACCATGTGAAGGTTGGATTCATGCTGCCACGAGTCAAGGAACTACCAGACACCAGGAGGGAGGCCTGGAACACTAGATCCTTCCCTGGTGCCTTCAGATGGAGCATGGCCCTGCCAACATCTTGATCTTGGATTTCCAGCCTCCAGAACGATAAGACCGTAAATTTCTGGTTTTTTAAGCCTCTCAATTGGTGGTACTTTGTTATGACAGCTCCTGTAAACTCATAGAGTGTCCCTTCCTTGTCACCTCTGCATTGCACTCCCCACTGGATCAACACCTGGAAGCCCACTTTGTTGGAACCCTTATGTCACATAGGGGTGACAAGAAGGTCCTGCCTCTCAGCCCCAAGTTACCAGCCTTTCTGGATTTTGCACCCTGCCATTAGCACAAATATTAGCATGCTTGTAACACAGACACATTAGGATTGCTCTAGCTCCAAGTCATAAAGCCCTCTTAAAAAAATTAAGCCAAAAAGCGTCAAGTGGCTTAAGCACATCAGCACCTGAAGTATAAGGATTTTATCCTATACTTTTCCTGCTGAAACACACATTGGTTTAAAAACAAAAGTGAAAGGGGAGAAAGCAGCCTCAAAACTTATCTTTGTGTTCACTGAAAATGTTGGCACTGTCAGGGCAAGGTTACACTGCAATGCTCAAGTGCATGTTCAGTTAACTGACTCTGAACAGAAGGATCCAGATTATTTCTTTCTTCAAATGGTTGCCTCTGATGAATTAGGAATACAGGATAACATAAGAAACACCAGTTTACGAGTTGAGGACCCGGGTTCACATTCTGACTGGATCTCTTACCAGCTGCATGATCTTAGATAAACGACTTGTCAAGCTCTTTGAGCATCATTTTTCTCATCTATGAATGAGAGGTAAAAATCCCTATCTCAGGGAGGTATAGACTTTCCCTTTCTTAGGCCTCTGATTCCTGGAATTGGGGGAGTATTTTAGCATGAAATATCCAAGTTATGCAGTGAGAATTCATCATTATTAACATGAGGAAGGGTTGTCTTATCAATGCTCCACCCTGAAGATGGGAAAAGACTACAGGGAGCCACCCACGGTTTCCCTTTGGGACCAGCAGTACCTGTCGTCTCCCAGGGGAGGGGTCATGTTTTGTGGAGTCTAGAGCTTAATTAACTTGGGAGGTCATTTTGAAGGAGTAGAACTCATAAATTCAAATACAAAAGGAGGTGCAGGGCTTGAAAGAGGCTTGTGTTAGCGACAGGCCCTGAAGCATGAGCTTCCTCAGCTGCAGAATAAACCTAAGCACGTCCCCTTTGGGATACAAGGAGAGTAGACTCAGGACCTTGGGCAGAAGAGTGAGGAGGAAAAAGAGAGAAAGATTAAAATGATAATAATAAGAGGATTCTAGAACTCCCATCTGAAGCTGATTCAGTATGACTGGAGGGTCGATAAATGTCTGTATTCAGGATGTCTATAAATGACTGCTACTAGATTACATTTCTTCAAAAAAATTTTTTCTGCTAACTGAGTAGACCTGAATGCCTGCTCAGATCTGAAAATAGTCTATCTTATTTTGTCCTAACGTGATGTTAAGGGTGGATTTCTTTTTATGAAACTCCCACGTGTAGTTGGGACCTGGCTTTAGTTCACGTGTGGCTCATCCCCAGTGGTCATACTGAACCTGGGCAGGCCTACCAAAAGCCTGTGATGGGGTTCAGGACACGCTCCCTTAAAATACAGCACCTTGGCATTTGGGAAAAGCACAGAAGCAGGAAGTTCACTTCTACCATGCCTTCTCCCTTCTCCCTTCTCCCTTGAAGCAGGTCATAAGACCTTATATGACAGGTGCCCTCCTTACTCCCAGAGAAAAGGAAGGAAGACACAGAAACACCAAGAAGAATATAGACAATCAGGCCTTGCTAAGCTCCCCCTCTCCCCCGTTTATTACCATGACATCATACTCCCTTTGTCCAATCACACTTTCATCAAATCTGAACATGAAAATACATAGGTTTCTCTGTTTGGGGGGTGGGTTTTCATTTTTGAAGTTTCCATGTCATGTAAAATTTATATTAAAGAAATGTGTATGTTTCACCCTTGTTAATTTGTCTTGTGTTACAGGGATCTAAGCCATAAGCCTAGGATAGATGAGGAAAAGATACTTCACCTGTTCGTCTGAAGGCTGAGCGATGGTTCTTATCAGACTGGAAGGAGCCATGCACCGAGAAGTTGACCCTGTAACAAAGCCCTGGAGGTGAGAAAGAAGGAGGAATTCAGAAATGCATTCAGCACATATTTATTAACATGTGCCTAAGTCCACAAGCACATATCAGAAGCCCTTGAGGCCAGTTATGTTTTAGAATTCAGAAATTTTCAGATTTTAGAAAGGCAATGTACATAAACCAAATATTACATAACATCCCTAGAGGGGTTGGAGGCAACACTTTGCAAATCAAACACGGTATTTCCACAGTCCTGTCTCAGCCAGATATATGAAGATTCACACTAAGTGGGATAAATGCAGCCTCACTTCACCTCATGTTTTGCCACCAAAGTGGTTACAAAAATTTTTGTGTTTGTAGAGGTTTGGGGATTTTAGAATTATGGATAGGGATTGTGGACCTGGGCCAGGTGCCGGGCAGTGTTCTGATGCTGGGGAAATAGCACTAACACGACCAGAGTAGAGGCCTGCGGGAGCTGGTAGGCTCTGAACGAGGGATGGTTCCCCAGTGGGGCCCTGGCAGATGCAGGTGCAATCTCCATGGGGAGAAGGGGAGGTTTTTAAAGGGAAAGAAAACAAAACAAAACAACAATAGAAATGGTGTTCCATTAAAGCTCTAGAAAACATTAGTGCATAAGCTTGAATGCTTTAAAAAATATCTCCAACAGAAAATCAACAGAGAATAGAGGCTCCCTCCCTCCTTCCTGTTAACAATAGGCAGCTCAGTGGCTCTGGTGACTGGAGGGCCATGGGCCTCAGCTGGAAGATGTGAGTGCCCAGCAGACTGGACGGGCACAGCTGATGCCCACCCGACAGAAGCAGACCCTGATGGAGAGAGACTCACTCTGAGTGGTGGTTTGTGACTGTGTGTTGGGATATGGGGGAGACAAAGGTACCCCTGGGACAGGTGGCCAGAATATTTCCTGGGGTCTATAACCTGTAGGAACCTGTAGGAACTGACATATACACATATGTCTATGCATGTGTGTTTATATATATATATTAACTATTGGGAGGAAGACTTTTCATCTATTCACTTAGTTTGGAGTGCTTGGGGGCCTGCAAATTAACTAGCAATAGACAAATTAGCAGAAGAAAAAAGGAAGTTTATTTACGCGTGCGTTGGACGTCACTAATGAGTAACTCACTGAATACCCAGTGGTAAAGGTTTATATACAGGTTGACTATCCTTTATTTGAAATGCTTGGGACTTAGAAGTGTTTCAGTTTTGGATTTTTTCAGATTTTGGAATGTTTGCATATGCATAATGAGATACCTTGGGAATCTCAGGCCTTATGTCTAAACACAAAATTCATTTATGTTTTCCATGCAACTTATACCCATAGACAGATGATAACTTCATACAGTGTTAAAAAGAATTTTGCACATGAACAAAGTTTGTGTTCCGTTCATATATGTGTCTGGAATTTTCCACTTGTGGCATCCTGTCAGTGCTCAAAAACTTTCTGATTTTTAGAGCCATTTGGATTTTGGATTAAGGATGCTCAATTTGTACCAATATAATAAAAAAGGGAGTAGCAGGAATTTACGGATTTGATGGGAAAATGTGTAAGGTGCTGTGAGTTTTTCTTTGTGCTAATGGGAAGGGGCAATTTGTCCACTTCCTGGAATTCGCAGGAAACCCCCTCAAAGCAGGGTTAATAGCAGCCTGTAGTTTTGAAAGACTCTTCGTTAGTCAGATAAGGAAAGTTCAGATAAGATTTTAAATATTTTCACCTCTAAACAATCTTTATGCCAAAGCTGCCATCCCTTCAATACATATATGCAGCACGCACATACATATGTAAATATATATAGTATATAGGTATATACATACACGTATGATGTGCCTATATAATATATATTTATACACACACAGGATATTCTATACTTACACCGCTTACGGCAATTATTTTTAAAATCTCCCTCTGCTTTTTCTCTTGTTCACCTCTGTCCCCTCCCAAGATCCTGGCTTGCCCTCCTGAGGCCTGCAGGGTTAGGACCAGATCGAGGAGAAATGAGGAGGTTGCAAAGCGGCATGTGTAGACTGCGTGGTTTGCTGAGAGCCTTCAGTATGATGACAAGGTAATGCTAGGCTCTTAGGTTCGCCATGAATCTAAGTGCAAATCAGTTATGCTTGGCTCAAGCTCTTTACCCTCTAAGTAGATTTCCCAGGGAGTTTCAGAAACATCAGCACAGGAGGGATGAATTTTCTGAGAGTGTGTGCTCCTGCATTAGCGGGTATACGCAAGAGCCAGAGAAATCTGGGCTCTGACGTTCACTGGGCTCCCACTGGCTAGAAAAATCAGGGTCTAAACTCCAGTGAACATTCTCAAAAGAATCTAAGAACCTCGCTACCTCTTCCTACATTGTGTGGCCACTGTTGACTCTCTCCCACAGCACTCCCAGAAATTGTTCTGGATTTTTTTCTAGGAAACAGCTTAGGGACATTTCTCTTTCCCCTGTCCTCCTTGGGGACAGCATGTGTGGACCACTCCCCACCGGTTGGCATCTCAGCCCAGCCCCTTCGCTTCATTTCTGCTTCTGCAGAGAGTTTCCCACAAAATTTTCCCACAAAGTTTTTTGTTAGCGTTTATCGAGGATTTCACCAGCAAAGCAAAAGCCTCTGCCTGCAGGCTGATTGGTTGGTCATGAAAGAAAAGGTGAAGACATTTCTGATGAACGGTCCCATTTGAGAAGGGAAAAGCAGCCCTGTGGCCAAGTCCCCTGTAAGTGTTTTGGTTCGCCTAGTAGACCGCTTCTGCCAGTGTTTATCCAGCACAGGGAAGGTGCTTTGAATAGATGTCTTTGCTGACACGGAACCCTTTGCTTTGTGAATAGGGCGATTACTAAACAATGAAGCTATTACATTAGGAGCAGGAGCTGGCTGGAGCCAACAAATCTCCTCTACGTTTACAGAGCTATAATTATCCAGAGTTTTAAAACACAATGGTATCTGCTGAGAGGGAACATCTGGGAGGGAACCAAGCCATCCCAATTAAAGGACTGATGCACAGCCCCATGGATTGGATGACTCCACATTAATGGGGTGGTGATTTTTTTAGATGTCACTCAAGTTAACACATGTGCTGAAAGGTTTGAGCAGAACAAATGTGCAGGGGGAAAAATCAGATCAAGAAGAGAGATCTGTTTCATAAGAACATCTACAAATTGGTTGCAGAAAGCATTCCAGGCTGCTGTTATGAACACTAATCAAGAGAAAAATGTTTCATGAGGTTTTTCCCATATGAAAATAAAAGCTTTTTCCACTTGCCATTTCATTTCAAAATAAATTCTTTTAACCTCCAGAGGACCCCGCATGACAGAGTGGGGTGGGAGGACGGCATTGCGGGGAGGTCTGAGTGACTCGGGGTTATGGGGCTGTGCCGGCACTTAGGCTCACCATAAAGATTAGGGGAAATCAGTTGTTATGAGAGATTGGAGACTCGATCCTATAAATAGATTTGGCCCAGATAGTAGCATTGGACTCTGCTTTGCCAGTGAAGTTTACAGTATGAGCTCCGCCATAACCATCTGTCCTAAAATGGGTACGGGCCACATGCTTAGGGCTCCTGAGCACTTCGAGACCCACAATCTAAATCAAGGGTCTATTCCACCTGTTACGTAAGTTGAGGGCAATTCTTCCAGGTAAAAAGAGAAAACTAAAAGAATGGTTATGAGGGCAGTAACAAAATCAGACAAAAGAATCTCTCATTCATCATCTTATACCTCTGGGAATGTTTGCTCTAATGGAGTGAGAGTTCCATCGGGGGCGGGGAGGGGGGCCACCATGGGGGATTATTTCTTCAATTATGCTTCCTTCCCATCTGTTTGGGGGCACTGCAGCAGCATCACACAGGGGCTCGGCTCAGTTCTGAAGGCAGAATCTGGGAAATGATTTGGGTCATCGCAGGCTATACCGCAGAGCCCACAGTAGGCTAAAGCAGGAAAGTGGGGTGCTTGCCAGGTTTTTCCCAAGCTGTCCTTTTCTGGCCCTTTGCTGATGCTCCTGCTGCAGTGGAGTCCCTCCCCACTTTCAGAGCCCTGTTGGTCCCCATTCTGATTGTTTCCCACAGAAGTACACTAAAACATGCTGTCAGAGCACTTGCTAGCTTTCACTTACTCCAAGGGGAGAAAACGTTTAAGTCTCTTTATCAACTTTCCCATAAGTATTTGCATGATGATTGCTGCAAAAGCAGTATTATAACAACATAAAAAATTAATAATTAAAACAGTTACCAATGAACCCACCACCCTACTACCATTTGAGTACCCCTAAGCCCATTTGTTCACTGAGCCTTCACCTGCTTTTTCCATTCTGCTTTGTTAAATATTTGCCTATTTCTAAGTTTTACTATGGAAGATAATACCACCATCAACACGTGCATTCTTTTTAACCTTCTGTGAAAGATCTCTCCAGAAATCTGGACCGATGCACAGTACCGTGAACTGAATTGTGCCAAAATTCATACATTGAAGTGTTAACCCCCTGTATTTGGAGATAGGGATGTTAGAGAGGTAATTCAGGTTAAATGAGGTCAGAAGAGTGCAGCCTAAATCCTTATGACTGGTGTTCTTATAAAAAGAGAAGGAGAAAGCAGAGCTCTCTCTCTTCCTCCATGTACACAGAAGAAAGGTCACTTGAAGACACAGAGAGAAGGCGGCCATCTGCAAACCAAGGAAAAGGCCTCAGGAGAAATCAAATCTGCAATGCCTTGGTCTTGGACTTAACAGCCCCCAGAACTGTGAGAAAATAAACGTCTGTTGTTTAAGCCTCCCAGTCTGTGGCATTTTGTTATGGTAGCCCGAGTAGATGAATATATACAGTGTTGGGGTTGAAAGGTGAAGAAGAGAAAAGCAGCCTTTGACATTAGGAGCAGGCCTGGCCCTCACAGCTAGCCCATGTGTTCTCCTGCTGAACACAAACAATTTCACAGAACTCTAACATCAGACAAGGCCACTCTGAGGCCACGAAGGATCAGGACAAGAAAAAGACCACTCCACAATCATGTCTGAATCCAGACAAA